ATTGCAACAGAGTTTTGATTTTTGTGTGATACTTCAATGTTTTTGAAAATTACCATTAAAAGGTTCAATTATATACCAAAGCAGACAGTATAATAAACTAACTTCCATGCACCTATCACTCACTCTCAACATTTATCAAGGTATAGCCATTGCTTGCATTATCTTTCCACTCTTCCCAGCCAGATTATTTTAAAGCAAGTCCCAACGTCCTAACATTTCCTGGTGCTTTTTAAAAAAATGTCCAAGTAAGTCTTTTTTTTTCTTTTTTCGATGCCTCCACCCTGCTGGTGCCCCAACCATGCTCTTGGTCTTCCCATGTTCAGGACTCCAGTCCTGCCGCAGGCACTGCTGTACTGTCACACCTCAGCTGAGAGCCCGCTGGACTGGATGCTCTGTAATTCTCTTTAGCTTGAACAATCCGTAATTCACAAAACCATAACCACCCTCACTCCAGGAGCCTCAGCTGAGGTCCGCATGACACAGTCTCAGGACAGCAGAGTCAGCTGACACAGGGATAGGGAGGAACCCATCTTCCCACTGCAAAGCACAGTCAGAGGTGGAGAAAAGGAGGGAAGAAGCCACAACCGGGAGGTGATCAGTGTGTGTGTACACTCCTAGTAACAAATTCCTCGGCTTCTACTTATCCCCATTGGCATTTCCTTTGCTTAGCAGTTAGCTTCATTTCTGAAATTATATTTTTGTTTCTGTTTTTATTTTTGTCTTTTTTCCTTGGATTGCTTTTTTTTAATATCATAGTTTTTAATTGCTAATATAAATATACTACGCATTCCGTTAACAAGGCCCCTACTGCCTTCTCCAATGAGTCCCCAGTGAGTGAAGCCTAGAGAGCTTCCTGGAAGGGCCAAGCCCCAGAGTCCCTGCCCTAGTGTCCTCCCAGCTCCCCTTAGTGCCCCACCACTGCTGGGACCCAGCCTTGGGCAACAGTGATGAAAGATTATGACACAAAAGTGACTTGCCTCTAACCCTGGCCCTTAACCCTAGACCACACTCAGCTCCTCACCAACCTCTGAACTCAGTGTCCCCAATTTGATCAGTATTGAGGCCCACAACAGACCCTCAATGTTCAGCAAAGAAGGCCCCTGGGGTCATTTAGTCAAAAACATCGTATATTGTCCCCCAGGTTCATGTAAACTCCCACAGGACAAGATGACTTTTCTCATTCAGACTTTGGAATCCAAGGAGGACACAGGAAGTCTCATACCTGCTCATGCTAAGCCTTTCTACTGCCAAGAATGGAATGACCATGGCCAGACATCATGGCTCAAGCCTGTAATCCCAGCACTTTGGGAGAATGAGGCAGGGAAATAGCTTGAGCCCAGGAGTTCGAGACCAGCCTGGGCAACATAGGGAGATCCTGTCTCAGAAAAA